AATCAAAATTTGTGGCTTTTTGTGGCACACAAATCGGTGACCTGATTCAAATCAGTCAACCAGAAAGATAAGGAACGGATCTACAAGACAATGAAAGGACCCAGATTGGAGGCCCGAGTGGGATAAGCCCATCGAAATAGAGGGGTCGGGGTAAATAGCAAGTGATGAGGCCACACTCGGTTTGCCACAAAGGGGCACACATTTTCATGATTGGGATGTAAACAAGTGAGAAGTTGTGATAGGGTGGCAGTGGGATAAGAGGGTAAAGTGTAGATAGATAGACAATGACAGAAAGGGGAGTGATAGTGTAACCGTTTCCAGCAGAACGTTTGCCGAGGCATTGACTTCACTTGTCTCTTTGACGAGTTCGTATCTTGGTGCGGAGAATGGCACAGCTCACTGATGATGCCGACTACGATGCCGGCGAAACGTTTGAGAATGTATCAAGTCCACTTTTAGATGCTGGGAATCATGACAACTACTATGGCAGACGACTTCGGACTAGGTGCGTTCTACATAGTCTCTCTGAACACAAGACCAAGTTGCGACAACGAGGTCAACCCACTTCTATAAATTGTAGGAGTGTTTATGAGTTATAGCAGCCCTGAAGTTGATGGCAGGAGACACAAAAAGAGAGTAGAGAGCAGTCAAACAGTTTAAATGAAACGAGAGAAAGTATTCATGTGTTATAACTGTTTGCCAAAAGGCTCAATTTAGAAAATCCTAGCTTATACTGGGTTGCAATATTTCATTTTTCCCTTAAGAACTTGATATTTTCTCACCGGCGAGTAAGTCTTTTGCTTTGCTTGGGTCAAGTTGAGGCTTATGTGTAACATTTGCCATGGTAACTACAAATTGCTCTAACCATCACTAGTCCAACTAAAACATCTGGATTGGGATTGTCCTAGCTTGCCTTAAAAATAACATTTGGCCTGTGATCCACTAGCCCCGGGAACTGTGCAACAGAGCATTAACTTCATCATTTGGCATGTTTTTGAATCTCGAGAGTGTAGGCGCAACCTGATAAAGCCCAAGCGGGATGGAAACTGCGATCCAGTCTGTGCGCCTGAGGTGAATTTCACTGGCGTGCTGAGACCAGATCATTGCCTTCTGTTAAATTAAATAGTCTGTATATACATCATCTTAAGTGACTAAAGTTGTTGCAGGTCTTTCTTCAGGATGAATAGATAATTTGGAAAGCTATTTATTTAATATATTTGAATTTTGGCCTGACTAAATATTTGAATCTCATCAACAAGAATTTTTACGCACTTTTTAATGAGATAATATTACTCTATTCTTAGTTAAGTAAACAGCAAATGCGCTGCAAGCTCATCCAAGAAACTGTGTTGGATTCTGAAACCTACCAGCAACAACTGGACCGCCTGCAACAAGAGATTGATGTGGAAGCTGACGCCCGCTTGAGCGACTTGAAGCTGAGGCTGCGTCATTTAAACGAGTGCATTGCGGGTGTCAGGACAGATCTGATTTGTCGACAGAAACGTTTGGAACATGCAAAGTCGAGGTGAGGCGTAGGCCAACAGAGACTGTTAGACATAATTTTGAAAATGTTTATCATAGTCACATGGGTGAAACGCCATGTGAATTATAGAATTTGACTCCTTGCTTTCAAAGATACCCAGGAGGATGCCCAATGATAATAAGAGATGTAAATGCAGGTCAGAATTATAGTTGTGGTATTTTATTCTTTTTGTCTACGCAGGATTGAAATGTATTACCAACAAGCTAGTCTATTTTTTGGCAATTTGGCTAACAACTATTTTGCTTAAGAGGCAGCTGACTTGGTGAAGCCCAGAGAATGATTTCATGCACTAAATTAATTCATCCAGAGTGCTAATTCTACATTATTATTGTAAAAAGTTGAATAAACTTGCCTTAGTAAGGTACAAACTTTAGTTCACTTTCCATAATAGACATATTCTAAATAATCATCCAACTGAGTGCATTTCAGTCATTTCGAAGACATCCTCATTCACAAAATTGTTTCTTGTTTAGCGGAAATTTAGTTATTCAACAATTCATTGATTAAGCATTATAACATTGGTTTGGACTCATTTTTGCAAAGTGTTCGGGGCGACAGGGAGACCATGTGGAACGTGCCTAGTCCTGCTTTCTCTGCCATGGTATTCATGGTAATTTCCATCGTCAGGCCTATGATTGGTTACATTCCCAATGTGGTCTTGGACATGTGTTAAGTCAACAGTCTAATGTTGACAATTACCATGACTACCATGGCAGAGGAAGCGCTAGGTACATTTCGCATGGTCTTCCTTTCGTCCCGACTACTTTACGATAACGAGGTAAGACCAACACTATAGAAATAAGACCTCACCAGCTTAGGCTTCACATCCGCTATTTAAATTTATTACATTCCCTATTCCACTTTATTCCACTATGAATATGAGCCTGTCAGTTATGGTGTTACTATGCCAGAATATATATACATGTGATCATCGAAACCCTCATTCCTTAAACAATAAACTCCATAGAGATAGCCTTTTAGTAATGGCGCGTTCGGCTTTACGCAAGCCACCTCTGGTACAAATTTTAGTTGCATATCAAGCTACACTTAAGTGTATACTGGAACACCTATTCTAGTGTGTTTTAGTGTGGTTATGCGAACGCTATATAATAATTAGCCACTCTGATCACTACTTCATTCACGACTATTATTAAGTATCACTGCCAAAATTATGATCGAAGCCAGTTTTAGGACTGAAGAGACATTATCGCTACTTTAAAAAATGATAATTAGTCTGTTTAACCTGTACTGTAACCTAATCGTAAATTCCCATCCATAAAAAATGCAATGTAAATGTTACCTGGTTATAATCTTACCTGACTAAAAATAGGTCCACAGAATTGAGGCTTTTGAGGTAAAAATGATAATATCTAAACTTCTTGTCCCCAGCGTCAGTGCGTTTATGGAGATATGAATAATATTAGTGAGAAGGTGGTTCTCTGTGTTTAATGAGGATTTATTAAGAACCAGATTCATGTGATTATAGCTTCTTGTAGTGTAGGATAATGTCATGATTGCGCGTTCAAATAGGTCTTAGTTTTTCGGGCTACCCTGTCGCTCAATATATTTTGGTGTGGAACGTAACTAGCCTGCCTCGGCCTGTTCATTTTCTCGTTTTCGAGACTACCAGTAAATCAGATATATTAATTGTATTCACCTTATTTCGTTTAAGGTGATGAAACTGGTAGTTTTGAAAACCTATTCACTTACGAAAAAAGTAATGTCGTCGATTGCTATAGCAAATATCAGTTTGCTTCATTGACAATCCCAATACAGAATATGATATGGAAAATGCTTGACAATCCTTGAACTTCACATCTGCCCTGTGACTCAAGGGCATTCGTGGCAATGTGGCCGTGTGGTTAACGTGGCGGGCTTACACGCTGCACTATCATGGTTCGACTCCCGCTGGGGGCGTTGATAAGGCCTAAGCGAGGAAAAAACTGAAGTCCACTCCTGCCTGGATGAGGACAACTTTTGGGAAAGCAAGGTTATGTTAAAGTAAATGGAAACGTTAGCTCCACTCATATAATTGTGGTAAAATTCTTCTACCAGTCCTTCATCAGCTTAAACGAAATAGGGTAAATGCACCCATATATTGTTCATTTTCTGTTGGGATGGCGATTAGGTTTTGGCGAGGTCCAAATTATCCTACATCTTTAATGAGGTAACGGGATTGGAATAAAAAATATTGCAAATTTTTGCCAAAATTACATTTCATCTCCTCATCTCATTGGTCTAGAGCAATTATTAATGCCAAAAGCACTAATTGACTTAGTTTTTCCCCACTATTACTTAAATTGTTATTGATCGCATGAATTCTAAGAGATCATTATCTCTCTTGTTTATTATGCTAATCTATCCACAATACTTAGACTCAAGAGTTTAATTTTTCGTATATAAATAGAGCTTTAAGTGTACAAGTAAATCAGTTATATGAGATGTATTCAGTCTGTTTCGTTTAAGGGGATGAAGGACTGGTAGTAGAATTTTCGAACAATGATATGAGTAGAGCTGACGTTTCCATTGAATTTCACAGAGCTTTGTTTTCCCAAAATTTTTTTCCATCCAAGATGGCCTACAGTTTCGACCTCGCATCGGTCTTATCAACACTCCTATCGGGAGTCGAACCGTGACAGTGCACCATGTTAACTTGACACGTTAACCAATCAGGCCACATTGCCATGAGTGCTATTAGGTCACAGGGCAGATGTGCATTGCAAGGGAGGCCAGGCCTTTCCCATATAATATTCTTTGGTGGGATTGTCGATGAAGTAAACGTATTTTTGCTATAAAAATCGGCTACATTACTTATTTTTCGTATATAAGTAGAGTTTCGAGACTATCAGTAAAGGAAATATGGCGAATACATCTCATATAACTGACTTACTGCTAGTATCGAAACTCTACTTATATACGAAAAATAAGTAATGTAATCGATTTTTATAGCAAAAATACGTTTGCTACATCAACAATTGCAACAAACAATGTGATATGTGAAAAGGCCTAGCCTTCCTTAAGATGCTCATCTGCCCTGTGACCCAAGGTCACTCGTGTCAATGTGGCCGGGTGGTTAACGTATCAAGTTCACATTCTGCACTGTCACAGTTCGACTCCCGCTGGGGTGTTGATAAGACCTATGCAAGGTCGGAACTGCAGTCCACTCTGGATGAGAAGAAATTTTGAGAAAGCAAGGCTATGTGCAATTCAATGGAAGCGTCAACTCTAATCATATCATTGTAGGAATATTCTACTACCATTCCTTCATCACCTTAAACGAAATACATCTCAGGATGAGAGTTTAAGGTTCTTTTGAGTTACTTTGGCCTCATTTTCATACTATGGCAATGCTCACAACTGGGCTCCGAAAACTGCGTCTCATACTGTATGTGTTATTGTTTTAATGCATTATTCCAGGATTTATTCGCTGAGCAGGCATATTTTCAGACGCTTGGCAGGCGTCTTAATCAGCATATGTAATGACGAAAGTCGTTCCTAGTGCCAACTTTCACTATGTGAATGATAAGTCTATTCAAATTAGCCATGAATTTAAAAAAATAGTCTGAATGATAAACCAGCATCAACTTTATATCTCAATGACTTCGTAGCACAAATCAAGAGTACGACTAACCACAGTAATGCGTGAATCGTGATGGATATGCTCGTTTACTGTCATAACGGCTTCATTTAAATCCAGGTAAGAGAAGAGTTTAGTTGTAAATGACGCAGGCTGGAGGATACAAAAGCAATGGAAAATACTTAGGCGTCTTGAGGGAGTGCTTTTGATGCAACCTAGAGGAAGGGAGTAAAGGTAAGTGGGCCTACAATCCAACTCACTAATTAATTTAAGATTTTTAAAAGATCGAACCTGAGTTCTTTTTCAAAGAACCCAGCTTCCGAAAATTACTCGGGGACGAGTGACCATCGGTTGACCTTATAAAGATCTAATGATTTCATTCTTGATCTTATTAGGGGACCATTTGCAATGATAGCGACAATTGCAATTGATCCTTAAGCGCAGAAAAGAGTTGCGATCTTCTTTATTAACTAACTAAGCAAGAGCCTATGTTTCGACAAGACAGAGGTGTCTTATTGAATCAATTAACTAGAAAGCAAAAGTTTCGTTGAAAAGTATCGAACTGCATTTAGGATATATCTTCTCCAGGCTTAATATGGTTGCTGTGCTGTGGATGGATTTATACCTATTTTCAGGTGTTCTTAATAAATCCATAGATTTTAAATGTCTATTTCAAAAAGTGCTTTTCGGTATTAAGTTAGCCTTTACCTCAGTAACTCTTGATGCTCTGTAAAGCATATTGTTAAAAACATTCTTATCTATAGCTTAAATCAGTGTCGATGGAAGCACATTTAAGTTATTTTGGTCCTCTCTGGATTTCATTAGGGCTGTATTTTGTCATCATTAACTTTGCGAAGAATAGTTGGGTTTCGAGGAATCTCTTGTTCCATTATTGTTGATCTTACTTCCATTTCGAGTGAAAGTGTTGGTTGAAGAGTTTCGAAGGTTGGTTTCACCAGAAGACGACGGCGGATTCCTCTTGACCAGCTGTCGATTGGCTTTACTGAAAGATTCATGCTAACACTGTTTCCGATGTAATTTCCTTCGATTCCGGTGAAAAGTGGCTAAGAAGGAATAATATTCAATTTAAGGAAACTGGAAACTCTGTCTTATTCAAAGTGCTGAGCTGCTTTGTTATGATTATATTATTTTGTTTTGTGCCAAACTTCAGGCTATTCAAAACATGGTCCATAATTCAAACAATTCTGCCACGGCATTTAAGTAGGCTAGGAATTTTGACAATAAAAATGTATCATTCTCTTTATGTTTAATCGTCCTTTGATGATCTCCTGTCAGACATCTTAAATAAATATGGAACCTTCATTAATTCTTCAATGCGATTTCCATTAGGGAAGATCTCAGGCACAGACTAGCACGAGTCGATTTTCCTATACAGCTACTCAGAAAGT